GATATCTTGCAGGGGCCCTGTCTCTGCTGCTTGGAGTTAGCTTGCATATTGCCCTGGCCGGTACAGCATTCCATATTGTTGCCCTCATGGTAGGATCCAAGTACCACCAGGCATATCCGGCATTGTTGAGTTTCGGATGGCCTAAGTGTCTGATCTCGAAATCGACTTCCCTCGCAGGCCATTTGGGGCTCTGGTTTGCATGCTGTCGGACACTCGAGATATACTGGGTGGTCGTGATGACACGGTAAAGGGGGACTTGAGAGGAATGCCGAGGCACTAAGGGCTGCACCGAGGCGAGAGAGTGGGAGGGAGAACAAATTTAGGGACTCCTGAGCAGCGGCGGTGCCACCAGAGTTACCCCTAGGCTTGCCCTACAGTACCCAATAGGCAACTGGGCGGAGCCGACACCAGCCTAAGGAGGGGGACTATTAACTGCCCAGCCAAGACCCAACCGCTTTGGGTGCTAAGGCGTGGCGTGGCCACTTTCTCCCTGATATTAATACCGAAAACATTTGCATAGGCCATTCCTGTCCACTACCTCACGTCGTTGGCTTCGTCAACCCAGATCGTCCACATGGTGATGAACGAATATGCTCTCTTCCTTCGTATCGTATCTGCCTCGAGCGCACGTGGCCACTCACCCAGTATGCGCCGTTTCAAATCCGCCCAAGCCTACTTACGTACAAGTACGGTACTTACCCTCTCGCCTCCTTCGCTTGGACTGTTGATGCCGCTCCTCGATCAACAGGATACCCGAGGTTAATTGAAGTTGAATCTGCATGGGCAATGATTCATGAACATCTACCGTCCGGAGTTCTGCCTTGTGGGCCTCCGCTAATTCGGCTTTATACCTTCTGCATCGAGCATGAGAGGCTGATTCCCCGCTTGTTCCAGCCGCATGGCACGTCCCCCAGCGCGGGGAGCTCGAGCTCTCCAACTCCATTCCCCAAATCCATCAACATTTTCCCCCACAAACTCGGTCTCTTTGCTTATCACAAAAGCACGCTTCATCTTCCTTGGTTCACACGGCAGCACGGTCACGATGCCGCGAAGCAACCAGGCTGTACGCCATCGCTCGCGGTGCGACGCGGTCCCGCTTCTTGGGTTCTCACCGCTTGTGTGCCGTGTTCTCCAACACCAGCATGACCTACGGAGAATTGTCGCCCAGTGTTCTCCGCGAGGACAGTCTCCAAGTACCGAGTACCTCACCATGGTCGACTCCAAGAAGGATCCACTTTCGCCTCGTGGCAACATCGTGGGTGGCAGCGCTGAGGGAATATAAACCCCTGACCGGCCCTGCGACTTCATTTGTACCTGGTTCGATCTCCATCGTTTGTATCTGGATCCACCGCCCGAGCCTGCCTCGTTCTTCAGCATGGGCTTGTTCAAGCATGGCACAGGGGACGCGGCCGACGCCTCGCATTCGGCCAAGGCCAACACGTACAACTTTTATGTCGTCTTCTTCAGCGCATTAGGTTCGTTTACGTACGGATACAATTCATCCATTATCGGTTCCGTCTTTGGCTTGCCCGCATTCTGGGACTATTTCAACATTTCTCTCACTGGACCAAATGCCAAGGAGGGAAACGATATCATCGGCGGTAAGCCCAAGCTGCTTCACTGGCATTGCAGACGTCTGACCACGAGAACTAGCTGCCAATGGTCTGTTCGCCGGGGGAGGCATTATTGGTGCTCTCATTGTCAACTGGATCCTCAACAGACTCGGCCGCTGCAGGTCTATTCAGATCGTCTGTGCCATCTGCGTTATCTCGGCCGCGATCCAGGGGGGTGCGGCTCACGTTGCCATGTTTCTCGTTGGACGCTTCCTGAATGGCGTCGGTGTCGGCATGATGCAAGTCACCGTGCCTGCGTACATGGTCAGTCGATCGGTTTGACTTGCGAGGTGCAACTCTACTGACGCGCGGTATAGTCCGAGTTGTCGCCTGCAAAGCAACGAGGCCGAATGACGGGTAACCAGCCTTTTCTGAGTCGTTTTCTGTTTCCACCTCGTGCTGACATTTGGGCAAGGTTCACACGGGGTCCTGATTGTCTGTGGCTACGTAAGTATACATCTGCACCCCACTCCCGTATAATGGAGGTCTGACTCAGGCCTTCAGGGGTCGGCCGCATTCACAGGTCTGGGCTGCTATTTTGCAGCACCTCAAGTGCAGTGGCGACTATGCCTCAGTCTGCAGATTGTAGCGCCCCTGATCCTGCTCATAGGCTCGCCTTGGTTGCCCGAATCACCTCGTTGGCTCATTTCAAAGAGAAAAGAGCGGCATGCGCTCGAGATTCTCCAAAAGTTGCACTCTCGACCAGATGATCCATCAGGCTTGGCAGCCAAGGAGGAATTCTACCAAATCTCCAAACAGATCGAGCTGGAGAATGCGACCGGTGTGCACGGTATCTGGGGTATGCTCAAGCGTGCTTCGTATCGCAAGCGAATATATTCGGGCCTGCTCGTGCAGTACGTTTCGATTTCGTCGCGACTTGTGGGTTTCTGCTAACACCTTCGGCAGATGCGCCGCTCAATCGACTGGTGTGCTGGTGATCAACAACTATCAAGTCCTCTTGTACAATAATCTCGGCCTGTACGGGTGGCTCCCTCTCCTGCTTTATGCCATCTATACCTCGTGGGCTGCGTTTATGAATTGGATCAATGCCATGCTGCTCGATCGCCTTGGGCGGATTCCTATCATCACGTTCGGCCTGACCGGCTGCATTTGCATGATGATTGTCGAGACCGCCATGGTGGCCACTTATGCGGGAACGTCCAACAAGGGTGGCAATGCAGTGGGGGTCTTGTTCTTGTTTCTCTTTGTGACCTTTTATGGAGGCAGCCAGGACGCCAGCAGCTACGTGTACTGCAGCGAAATCTTTCCAACTGGTGTACGAGCCCACGGACTGGGCACCTCGATTGCAGGTCTTTTTGCATCGACGCTGCTCTACACAGAGGTTGCACCGACCGCATTCGCCGACATTGGATGGAAGTAGGTGTCTTCTCGTCTTTGCTCTTGTCCTCTACATCGCCTTTGCCGCGACTGTGCTAACGAGTCGTAGATATTACCTCGTCTTTATCATTGTTCCGGCGGCCTGCCTTCCATTCTTGTGGCGCCTCCCCGAAACCAATGGACTCTCGCTCGAAGAGATTGCTGCGAAATTTGGTGACGAAGTTGCCGTCGACCTCTCACATCTCGACGAGGAGCGCCGCCGCGCGCTGGACGATCGCCTCTTGGCAGTGGGTGTCGATATTACTGGAACGCCGTCGAGCGAGGGCGAGGGCGAGGGCGAGACCAAGGTGACTGCCGTAGCCAAACATCAAGAATCTGCTTGAAGTGACGGCACGCTGGCGTCTGAAGGGCAGAATTACACCACGATCAATATTGCTAGAGCGAGTCAAATGTCTGGTAGACCGCTTGAATGCAGACAATCTTAGTTTGTTCTAGGCGCCTCAACCTAATCTGATACTGCTTACCGTCTGCGGTGGGAATCCATACCAGTACATGTTTTCCAAGCATCCTGCCGGGACGTGGGTACAAAGCTTTGAATCCAGCCACATCAGATGCAGTAGTGTCCTCGCATGCTTAAAGCCAGCACGGCTGTCCATTGTAACTTGGTTTGTTGTCAGCTATTGATGACTATCCTGTTCGTGATTCGAAAGCAGACCTGTCATTATCAAGCCTTACCAACGTCACGTTCTCGAATCCGGCGAGAGAATGGTGGCCGCGGTTAGAGATCATCAATCACCCTTGCATAGCTGGCCAAAAGCACGTCAGTCGCGCCACTAGTATAGCCTAGCTATACCCGAAGATATACCTAACCCCGAGGAAAGCTGGATCATTATAGATAGAGAGCGCAGGGCGCGAGAGGCGTAATAATCGATCTAGATTCTCACGACTATTCCAGAGGAGGCTAACGGTCCTCTACCGCAGTTGAAGTCCGAGTTCATGTCATGAACCGTTCCGCAAAGGGGCTCGATATAAGATTAATTCTTAGCACAGGCTAATACTAGATCGCAAGACAAGATATGAGGAAGAGAGCAAGTCAATATTAATGGAATAATATCCAACGACGTCAACTACAAAAGGTCTCGAGTAATAGACGTAGAGTATAGCTATATACTGTGAGGGAAGGCTGTCAAGAAATAGACAGATCAATAGAAACACCGAACGAGATATATCCCTATCGTGAGCCGTGTCTACAGAGACTCAAAGCCTTGAAGAGGTCTTGAGGAGCTTGCGTGGGACGTGTGGTTCTCATCTGTTTCTCCCCCGTTGGTCCCTTTGGCGTCTTTGCTGTGTTTGTGTATTGGACTCCTGGCATGTGTCGTACAGTAGGTGTCCTAACATGATGTCCCCCCGAGAGGTTTGGATAAGGTGCAACGCCACTTGCTTCTTCATCTTCCGCCTTCTTCATTATTCCGGCGAGCGGGCATTCCCAGAAAGGCGACAGCGGATCGAGTTAATTCTCGGTCTCAAGAAATTTATGCTCTGACGCAGCATAGTAAACTAATTATATTATATTATTTCACAGTATGTGGGGGGACAAAGGTGGAAGTAATGGGGATCAGAACTGGATCTCATTTCTCTGTCTCTACATGGGAGCCCAAAATTGAGCCCAAGGGAACAAAGGAGACGCGAAAAGGCCTGCTTGACCTGATCATAATGTCCACATCCTCTTAGCTCGTGGCTTCCAAGTCCTCCCTGTTCTTGCTCGAAGAGGACAGGCGACACCTTTCCTCGTTTCACAGCCACACCTAGGCGTCGTAGCGCAAATGGTCAAGAATTAGTATGCCAGCTTCTCAGTCAGAGTGTATGGACGGAAAGATCTGGAATCTTCGCAGCAGAGCCTGGCAAACTTGCTCTTCCCATTTCAACTCGCCTTGGTGAGGATGATATCGGCGTTCCGTGTGAGCCTACCGTGTGGTCTAAAGAGTTCCTCGAGGCGGTTGTAGCTCAGACAAGCCTGCGAGCTCATCACAGTGAATATGTTAGTGGTGATTAAACAATCGTTACAGAATCGCAGGGCCAATTGCTTTTACTATACTCTTGGAAGAATTCTTCACAGAAAATGCGCTTTGACCGTCGGAACCCACCCTCAGGGTTCAGACGATAGTCAAGAGATTTTTCCTGAAGTTCGAGCTTTTCGGATAATGAAGGAGACGTCGGTATGCTGTAGAAGCTCAGTTTTAAAAGACCCGGGCGTTTAAGAACTGTGCTCCTCTCGTCTTTGTACGACGGCATATTCTGGAGGACGAGGGCGTCAAGACGATTATCAAATGAAGGCCATGCTTGCATCAACAATAAAGCGGCGTAGCGGCCTTCACGAGAGAAATCGTTGGCCCTCTCGCCGTAGTCGAGCTCAACCACATGAGAAAGGTGGCGCTCGAAAGCTGAAAGATTACTCCCCGGCGAACGCCAGGGGGGATGGTAAAGCCGAGAAAACCGGTAGACCGGTCCACGTATGGTAAGTTTGGCACGCAAGACACCGCCGAAAGGATTGTTTAAGTCCATTAGACTGAAGCTGACGTCTTCCAGCGTTGCCAATGGCCTAGGACTGTTGTTTAACCAGTCATTTCGAATGGTATACCCGGGAGGGGCGTTGGCCCAGCTCCAGGAAAGGAGCATTAACCTCAACGTCGGTGGACTGACCAAGTTTGCTGCCGAATAGCTCCAAGCCTTCGGCATACCACAACAAACCTAGCAGTATATTTGATTGCCAAAGACCCACCACATATCTGTCGCCGTCGAGGGCCATCCCATACATTTTGGCTATTCCTGAAATTGCAACGAGTCGATCTCGCTGGCATGTCACACCGCGACCAGAGTAGTCTTCAACGATGTTGTACCAGATGCGGTATCTATTGTAGTTCGAATCGCATTTCGGACTTTTCAGGAACTTAGGCAGGAGTTTGAATTTGGTGAAAAGGTCGAATCGCCAGAAGGGCCTTCCACCAGGTTTGTCCGCAATGTTGAGGCCGAACTCGATCAAGGGGACGTATTTAAGGGCTCGCTCGTACTGAACCACGCTGCAGCATTTCCACGCGATCTAATGAGAAGAATAGAACAAGATTCGATTTGGCAGAAGCCTTTCTTGCAGCGTCCATGCTCGTTTAGACCATGGTCCGATCAACGGGTCGTGATGATCGGGCCGCGCGTGCGAGACGTAGACCTGCGGCGGGTTTCGGTATTCTTCACTGGCGCCCTGATTCGGGTTCGCTTTCCAAGAGATTCCAACGAACTGCGTTTCTCGCAGGCTCAGAAAGCTCCCTGAGACATCATTGGTGTCCACACTGGCAACAGTCACCGTCGACTGTCCATAGATGTAACTCTTCTGCGAAGATTATTCCAACCAATCCGACTTCTGGTCTTGAAAAATGCACAATGAATCAATCCACAGATATTGAATCCCCAATCCCCTGCTGATGGTGACTGCATCCCGAATAGTGGCGTCCAGATCCCCGATATCAACATCGGCTTTCAGAGATCCTTCAGTTTCTTTCTTCAACTTCAACAACGGCTCCTTTTTCCCCCACCGGTAGCTTAGAGCAACCCACGGCTGCAGTGATACTCCCGATGGAAACTCGACAAGGTGTGGATTTCTGCTCGCGTTCCCGACCTGGAGGAAGCGTGTTGACAAACTGGGACCTGTTAAGTTGGGGGTTGGGCAATCATGATTCTCCAGGCAAGATGAAAGCCACATTGAAGCAAGCGCCACACTGCCGGGATCGTTAGAATGACAATGCAGTTTGCTAAACGGTTCAAATGGAAGGTCTGTAGGCACGTCGCCAAAAGCTTTCGGTATTATGTTAGTAGAATATGGTAGGCTTTCTAGCATATAAGACATACCATTATCAATGCTAATGTCAAGATCACAAAGCCTGATCAGTCCTTGCTCGGGGCTCATAAAGAAGCACCTTAGTTTAGGCTCTATGTGTGTCGAAAACTCAGGAGGATCATCCAGTTCATCTTCGATTGTCCGGCTCCCTGCGAGGATGATCGGAAGATCGCCTGCCGCTTGTGCTGCCTCTGATTCTTTACGTTTAAATGCATCAAACAATAGCGTACACAGACCACAACCAGCAGAAGCTGCAATCCGTATCTTGAATATGTTATCAGAGTGTCTGAAACACAATCCGGAATAGTTATCATGTCAAAAATATTTCGGGTCTGGATCTACGTATGTCGATGAACCCACGTCAGGGGAATTGAAGATCCGGTACAAGTCGAAGCTGTTGCAAGTGGTGCATAGAGCCATGACATCGAAATATGGACATCTATGAATCATAAGGAGTTGTGGGAAAAGCCCAGTAGCAGGGAAACACGATGTAATGTACGTCGCGGTTGCACACCCACACTTCGGCTGACACCACAATGCATTCGGCTGTCTTGAGGCCACACAGCTTCACGCGAGGGCTAACAACGGATAGATCACAACACAGCCCCGGGACGCTCTGTAGACGTCTGGGATAATGGACGCTCTTCAACACAATTGCGCAATGTTACAGCCATCCCACAGCCTGGCTGGACCTGGTGAAGAATAGTGGGGTATTTCTGCTGTATCCAGTGCTTGTAAAACAGCGATACACCACTTACTCCTGTACAAGGCCGATCGAGCCTCCTTGCGATGTTAAATAGCGACGGTTCGCACGACGTGGACATCGTCGATGCCTATCATTACATTGGTTCGGCGGCAAGATGGCCAACCAAAAAGCTTAGGGGGTATGGGGCTTATTGGGCGGCATTACGGGGAGCACGAGCTACTGGGTAATGAGCCACCAATCGCCGCGCTGTGGCTTGTAGCCGCTGGTGGCTCGTACCCAGTAGTTTAACGGAGACCAGACCTTAGGTAGGCGTCTCGGCGCCTGAATCACTACCCAGTATTTTGCTTGATCAGATTCCTTGGTCTCGGTACGCCGTATGATTCAACCATGCACCCTGTCGCACCGTTAGGCCAAGGCTACACGGAAACTTAGGCAGTAGCGTAAGGGCAGGGAATCTACTAGGTTCCCTAATGACGGTCTAAAACAGATGCCTAGCCGAGAGAAAGGTATAGCGGGATCGTAAGGGCCAGATGAGACCCGCAGTGTGCTATTTGCTTAGGAAGTGCTCAGGGAGCAGTCAGCGATGCCCAGCCAAACTCTCTCTCACCAGGCTTAGTTAATGCTCAGGTTAAAGCGGCCTTTGCTCACCCTCTACGATCAACCTGTCCGTGGCAATTAATTAGGTTTTTCGTTCCCGAGTCCTCTAGGGATTAGTGAGGACGCAGCAATACGCAGGACCGACTCCCCGAGTAGCCTTCTCCGCATTCGCGACTTGCGACTCCAACCCGCGTGTCAATTATTGTGTTGACTTTGGCTGCGATCGACGTTGATCCCATTCTAGGACAATCCATCCACACACACAACAATTCTGTTGCTCCGAATCCAGCCTTGCAAGAATGTTGCTGGAGGCAGGCATTTTCCAATAGCCATGCCACCAAAGCCTTCTGTTCGGGGCGAATACATCGAAACCGTCAGTCTCCGTCCATCGCAGGAATCATCAACCCCAGGCAATGGCTGACAACCTCGTTTCAGGAAACTGGCAACAAGATCAGTCGCCGAGCCAGCGTCCTGGGTCCGCGCCATATCATCCTGGCTGGCAAATGTGTCATTCAGCAGGACGTTGTAATCCACGGGGACCTTGTTCGTCCTCCACAGCCAAAGCCTCCCTCTCAACAGCAGTCGGGTGACCAGAAGGCGGCGACCCAAGACCAAACTTCGATTCACCTCGGTCGATATGTCTTCATTAGTCCCGGCTGTACACTTCATCCCCCTTCCCGCCTTACCACAGTGCCAAACCCGAACGGTGGTGAACCGCAGCAGATCATGACCTACTTCATGCTCCGAATATCCGACTACGTCTACATTGGTCCCAACACACACATCCGTGCAGCTGAGATCAGGAGCAATGTTTGGATAGGCGCCAACTGCACGATTGGGAACATGGTCATGATCAAGGATAATGTCAAGATCTTGGACGGCACCGTCCTCCCTGCGAACACCGTCTGGGCCGGAGGCACCATCATTGCGGGACGACCGGGAAGAGTTGTGGGGGAGATTGGTGAAGGTTGGGCGGCCGGCGGAAGCAGTGGCTCCTCCGTGGATGAAGGAGTTGGAGTCAAGAGTAGAGAAAGATGGGCTGCTGTTGGAAACAAGAGATGAATCTGCGCCTGGATACTACGATGGACGAAATCTCATCACTTTCTAGATCCGTCTCGAATGCCATGTCGAACGACAAGTTCCGACCAGAAATGAGCATCCCCTTGCTGGACGCGATCGAGCGTCACCCATGTTCTAGTCTTTGCATCCATTGCAAGACCCTTCTCTCGAACGGGATACTGGGGACAAAAGCCGGTTCGCGCAGACTAAGCTACGTGAATCTCGGACCAAAACCGACGGACGTCTGTACGAACCGGCAAAAGGCATTTCATTCTCAGAAATATCGCGGAGAGTCTATCCAACAGCCAGCATCGAGCTCCGATCTCCGTTCCGTCGAATCGAGGAGTATTGCATCAAACAAATGACACAAATGATGCCCGCCATATGCCAACTGATCGATCAGACAAAAAGCTGCTCGACTTCGAATTGTTGTTAGTCATCCCTCCAAAACCCGTTGGAGAGAAGAATGGACAAGGAATCATCCTCCGTCTTCTCTTCATGCTACCGAAAAAATGCCACTGTACTCTGAAACTAACCCTCACCTCACTGAGACTCGTGCCTTTCTATCACATCCCGACAGCAACTCCCCCAGATCATTCCAGCAAACGTTGCCTGCCTCAAACAGCATTGTCGCCCTTGATCCCCACCGCCCTGAAATCCTCGGCTGTCCAACTCCATCTCTGCGGCCGGCAGGATTGCCGTGACTCCGGAGTCAGTGGAGCCGACGTCCAAGCATTATTGCATGAGCTGAGGTGACGATGGCGTGTGTGTGTAAGATGATGCTCAGATGCACTCGCAGGCTGAACGGGGGTCTGGTTGGAGTAATGTTGGATCGGCACCTTCATCTCTGTCGTTAAAGGCCATTCATTTCGGACATCATCTTTCGCCCGAATTTGGCCAACGATAGCTCCCAGCACGGGTTCCGAGTTTTGCCTCGATATCTCCCTTGAATGTCGCAATCCGTTGCTCAGCTCAGGGGGATGCTGCTTCAGCGGACTCTCAAAGCAGCTGTATCTCGCCTCGGGCCCTTCCTTCGAGTGCGACCCCGAGGATGAAATCAACGGAGAACGAGCACTCGAACGACGTCTCAATTCGGTAAAGACCGTCCGCCCTGGTTCGGGGGGTGAAGTTTGGCCGTGGTCCAGATCGACGTGAGGGCTGTGCCTTCCGCGACGCGGGTTGAGAGGGGCAGGGAAAAGGCTTTCGCGTTCGTATTGCAACACCGGGGGTCGCCGGCTTGCATCGTGACGCGGGAGACTAGGAGTTGCTGGGCAATGAGCAACGGGATGGTGTTCATACAGTGGATGGTCTTTCGGGATCGGGAGCGCCGCCATCATATCATCTAGGTGTTGGTGGATGGTGACAAGGCCATTGTACGACGTCAGTGGAGATCCGTATCCTGACTCCATCGAGCTTTTGTTCGAGGCAGGTGCGGAAGGATAAGGACAAGCCGGAACAGCTTCGACTTCGGCGATCCCTGGGGCATGATAATATGGATTCAGCTCATTAACCAAAGCCGGGACTGGAAGCGGCGCCATATTGTCATGTCCATATGCGAAATCGCCATATCGATACCCACCAAGGTTCTCGAACGGCACGACCTCTGTTGGTCTTGATCCTCTCTGAATGGCACTCGGGGAACTCGTCTCAGCCTCGACACCGCCAATGACCGCGGAAACAACTGCTTCGTCCGCCTTTTCATAGACCACTCCTTGTCTTCCTCGTACCCGCGTCTCTTCTTGATCCTCAGCACTATTTGGTATCTGTGCCCAACCGGCTCCGTCAAGGACCCTCCCACACCTCCCACCGCTCTCTCGATTCTCTGCCGGTCCATCACCATCGTCCCCACGCATACATCGGTCTTGTTTCCCGTTCTCGGCATCGCCATGATTCTCATCAACCGCGATGCCATCCGGTTTGCCGCGCATGCGATTCTGGCGATGTATCCTCCAAGTCGCAATCCCCGCAACAAGCAGAATCACCCCGGTGAGGCTGAAGAAGGATATCATTGCCGGTTCGTTCATGGGTTCTATCTGTCCCGTGAACACCACTCTGAGTTGAATGTAGGTATAGCAGAGTATATGATGGGCGGGATTGAGGTTCGTATGTTCCTGGGACTGGACTCAAGTCCGGGCTGTAGAGCAGAGGACAAGTGTGTTACAGCAGAGAGAAAAATTTGGGTTAGATGATGGCGAGTATGTGTGTGTAGCTCTACCACGAATAAGTGACTGGATGACTGGCTGGCTCCTTGCTGATGATACCGAGCAGCTTTGAAAACCGAGGGGTGTCATGGAATAAATAGATGAATGAACAATACCAGGGACTCCTATAAGATGGCGCAGAATAGCATGTTCTTCGTATCGTCTTGTCTCGTCCCGTCACCTTTGGCGACCAACAACAAAACCACCATCACTGCGACGACGAACTCTTTGATCCCCTGATCCATATCACTGAGAGACATTGATCCCTTTGACCGCGACATATGGCACCCTCGCGACCCGTCTCGTCTGAGTGAGGGAGAGTGCCGCGCGGATTGAATCATTCTCGTCTCTCCTCTTCTCGCCTCGCCTCGCCTCATCTGGACTGGTCGCGCTGCCGTGGGTCTCTTGTCTTTGTCGCTAGGTGTGTGCGTACATACATACATCCATGGGCGCTGGCGTTGTGGGCACAATACTCAGAAAAGTCGATTGTCTCGCGGTTTTCACCGGTTTGTCTCAGCCCTCCGTCTCGCAGCTCCAGCGTGAACCTGGATCTCTGCCGTTCTTTGGAAGTCAAGATCAATTTCAAATCCAAGATCAAGCTTAAGCCCTGGCTCAAGCCCAGCTTCAGTCCGTTCGTTCCAGGCCCTTGCAGGGGTTTTGACTGTTTTTGAATTCAGAAGTTCTTGAACCCGGCGGCGGGGTTGTTGGGAGGCGAGTCTTCGATGTTCGTGTGACGCATATGCGTTGATGGATATAGAGAAGTGGAGAGGACAGAAATGGAGATGTCCAGGGACACATCAGGCAGTTGCCAGGGCAAGCACTTCGCAAGATCTGAGAGGCGTAGGAGAAAGTGGTACACGGAGAAAGCTGGGTGCCGCTTTGATCGCATCCCGCAGTTGTGGTGTGTAAAATTCTTGTCTCGGACGAGGTCGCAACATGTTCCGGCGCACAAGCTTGAGGCTTTTTCCGGTAACTTCACCCGCCCAAGGCTTCTCCGTCGCCAGGTGAAAGTCCTTGATCCAGGCAGGCCTCATCGAGGCGTCATTATCTGGAAAAGAAAGAATTAGCCAGATGCGCGCGGCGTAGGTACACGGCTGGCTAATTACCATCTCGCAGACCCTGCTGTAGTAGTCGCTGTCTTGATCATGCTTCGCTGGGCGATGTCTCCCCCCCAAGGACGACGGTTTCTCCCTGCCTCTCCCTCGCGGCCAGACGTGAACAAGCGTCTCCACGGGTTCTGCCCGGCACATGCGTTGCTAAAGTAGACCGAGCACCCAGTAATCTGTCTTCCATATCCGCGCAGACAATGCTCTCGTAACTAGGCAATCCATGGGGATCGGCTTGACAGTATGGGGGTAGGATAGACTCTTCCGACGTTGGTGAGTTTGGAGGGCTGTTGTCGAAGATGAATGGGTCACGAATTCTTTCGATAGCGGTGTTAGAGGGATCGGGGGTACCAAGCTCATTGCGCTGTTGCGACCAAAGCCAGAAATACCGGCGCCCACTACCAGCGTGGAGAGAATCATAAGCTGGTGGAGGTGGGCGGATGTTGTTCACAGTGCCCTCAACTGGATCAAGTCTGACGCGGAGTTGCCGTCTGATCCTGATGTGGCGCAAAAAGCTCAGGCAAAGGAAAAACACAAGGATGAACATGATGAATGCGATGCCAACGGTTCCTTCAATTGCTGTTCCTTTGAGGCCCATCTGTGTTGGAACCTCGTTGAACTCGAACACGACAGAATACATGGACCTGCCGACGTAGTAGGAATCACTGATATTCTCACAAAAGATTTTGTTCAGCTGTATGAAAAAGAAAAAAAAATACACAGAGGCGACCAAACTATGAAATCACCTCACTTCCCATATTTTAATGCGCCGACGGGAATGTATTCTTGTTGGGAGGCGAAAGCCACTCGAACCGCTGGATTGAAAACCATTTTCGCGTTTGTTGACGAGGCAGACAGTAGCCTCTGTTTCTGCCATTCTAGAGATTGCCTGGGACAAGCTTTGAATCTCAGGTGGAGATGATATAAAGCAGAGCAGAGCGAAAGCTGACGGATGAAAATATCACATTATCATGACTGCACCACACGAGAGTAGTTGGCTCGCTGGGTAATAGGGTTGCCAGGCAGGCAGACACCGAGACAATTGCTATGTAAAGATTAGTATGTTAGTGCCATCTGTAGTTGGTATAGCACATTCTTGGCGTCTTGAAATTTCTTGGCAAGAATCCGACTATTTATTTTCGCTCCTCACTTAATGCCATTCTGACTTCTTTTTTCTTTTCTTCATACTTGTATGTCCCACTCCCCCAAGCGCAATGAATTTTGGACTTTCGCTAACATTTCAATAGACCTTGTGGGCGCAACTTCGATCACGAATGGAGTCTGCGATAGTGGTGTCCCTGCATTGCACATCGCGGTGGATGTCGCCATCAAGTGTCCTTCGGGGCTCTTGTCCGCGTATTTTTTGGCCAACTACCACTTTTTCATCATGACTCTTGCCTGGTTGCAAGATCCTGGAGAAGAATATGGAATGAGCGGTCCAGACGACATGGTCTGCGGAATCTGGAATCTGCGCGTGCTCGACGAGTGACACGTGAGGTTAATAGGAGGTACACAATCACAAGACGGAGGAGAGTACGGCTTGGGCGTTACCTAGCATTATTATTGTTGCCATTAGTATCAGCAAAGACGAAGGTACACTTAACGGACATGTATGAATGAGATTTAATGCGAGCTCTGCTGTTTTGCCTTTTTGATGTCTAGGCACCAGCCGAGATGAGCCTGAAACTACGGAAGGAGTGAAGAATAATTAATCGCAAGCCGTTTTGATTTCAGCGGGAAAAGGTATCCGTTCAGGTGCAGCGTTCATCCTATTTACGTACATAGATACTTGCAGGTGCATGCATAGAAGGCATTATGATCACAAGGACATTCATTCATCCATCCATCCATCCGTTCATTAACTGTGAGATGGCACAGATGGGCAGAAGGGTGTGATGACATGAACCTCTCAGGTCGCGAGGTGTGATAGTGGCGGTGCATCAGCCTCAACGGATGCAAAAGGTCATCGCCACCAGTTAACTCGCTCTCTCCGCGCCCGCCACCTTTCACCATCTGCGAGTCCGAGACTCGGGATACCTTACTGGCCGAGGTCCATTCATTCATATACTGTGTGATTCAAGCCCACAGCGAAAAGGGAGACCTTACGCTCGCCAGGTCAAGATTTGACTTCCCCTTGGCACGGACGTCTGGTGCCCATCTCGGAGTCGCCATATTCCCGGGATGCCCCATGTCTCAAGCAAGCTGAGATAGATCTCGGTTGCGGGGTTGAATGAATGAGGGTACGATCAACATTTGGTCTCGCATGCCTGCCGAAATGTGATTTAGATGGAACCCTCTTTCCTCTCTCCCACCCCTCTCAACACTCGGCAGTCTTGATTCTTTCAGGCACATGAATCAATTAATTGCAGACGATCACCAAGTAGATTGGGGGCTAGTACACTGGTACAATCAGGCTGGATGTTGGTTTGTCATGTGTCTTGTCTACCTGATACTCAGTATACATGGTGCCTTTGGTCACCTATCAGCAGGTAGAGGATGCTGACAAGGTGGCACCCATGGTATAATTCTCTGCAAGTGCTATCAACATGATTCACAATTGTGACCACCAAGCTCAATCGTCATGTCAGCCCTGGTTTCTTCTCTTTACGCATACCGCCAGTGTCTTCCCCCTCGCCAGATTTGCCCAAAAGGACCTTGAGTTTCAAAGCCCGTAGACCGTTCAGGAGGTTTCTGCGGATCTGGCTGCTTCGCTGGGTGTCCTCTCCCTGCGCTCGACGTTGCACTTTTCCCAGCCTTTGACATGCTCACCGCGCTTGCCCAGGTTCGGATCATTGTTTTTCTTGGTCTGATCGACCGTGGTTGCAACGCATCGAGGTAAGGGCGACGAGTATCCTACAGGCAGTGAAAGACCCCATGGACTTGATGAGGGGCACCTAGAACTAAAGTTATGCAAATTCGGGACGCAATCACTGCCCTTAAAGATGTGCTCATGCCGTCGGACGTGAGTTGGGTGAGTATAACAGGGTGAGAAGGAGATACTGGCCGAGCAAGATAGCTAACCGAGGACGCCTTGTGCCAAAGTTGTCACGATAGAGGTAGGCCTAGCACTGTTAGGATTCTCGACGGTCTCGTCTCTCGTTCCATTACCTTTAGACTGGTCGAAATAGAGTCTAGATATTAATTCATATCATCGTCATCATCGGCCCTGAAGCCCGTTCTGTCGACGTTGTGTTATCCTTGGCCACGTCGCAGACAGGGCAATCCATCCCTCTAAGGATGACCCAGTGTGCAAGCATCATTTGTAACACTGTTCCAGAGGTTGGCTCTTCTCACATGGACGCAGTTAGTGTCGATTGGCCAATTGGTGATGGCTAAATCTCTATGCGGCTGCTCTGCGTGGTCATGAGAAGCTCGAATGTGCGATCCAGAGATAGTTCGTGGGAAGAATCACTACTCCCAAGTCCGAGCGTTGGAAAATAGTGGACTGGCGTATTCTCATGGCCTCACGAGTGCCCGTCTGCTGACGCTCCTGTGGATGATTGACTAACAAGATGGCGGTGGCAGATGAGGAGAGTGGTACGGCGAGTCGCTTGTCACGGGGAAGCAGAGGAAGTGCAGGCAGGTGGCCAAGTGGTCATATCGTGGCTGTGCCCTTCAGGTGGGTGTAGGGTGATCTGCGGCAGCGATTGTGGCAACTAGGGGTCGAGTGCAAGCTGGGGAAGGGATTCTGAGACTGTCAGGAGGTCAGACCATGTGGTATGCGGAAGCCGGGACAAAGAAAGCTGACCCAGAATATGGGCCGGGCTGGAGTGGCTCGAGGCATTCGCCCGCAGGAGACACAGAACCAAAGAAAAGAGGTCGAGATGCGAAATGTGAGCTGTTGCAGCGAGTCGCGCGTCTTTAGGGGGGGAGGGGCCGAGGTGTGCAAACGAAGGGAGAGACGTGTTTCACCAGTCACCAGACGAGCCAAAGAAATGATGCCGCTGACGGGTGATGTACGTTAAGCGACCGGCCAGTGACCTTACGCGAGAGGGAGGCCTGGGGAGCCCCTGAAGCGCGTCGAGAGGGTGCCTAAAGTGTATGAGACGTGTCAGGCGTGTGTCTCGACCTCTCTGCCAATCAATGGCTCGTGGGGTGGGCACCACTTGGCCACAAGGGCGTGTCAAGTGGCCATGCTTGGAGAATGATACCACCTCAATGAAGAGGAGGAGTGAAGCAGCACTAACAGTCGAGAGTTGAGAGATACGAGATGATTTAGCAGAAGGCCAGGCGAATCGTAAAGAAACTACCATGCCGAGTTACAGTACTACGTACAGTACTTTAGGAGCTGACTCTGGCTCGTAATGCGTAACGCGTAACGGGGCAAAGGGAGGGAGATGGCAGCTGCAAGGACGGCCAAATAACTATCGACAGATGGCAGATGGCAGCTGGATCAGCGCCGAGCGGTGCCCTGGCTGGTAGGTTTATGGGCTATGGTATGGGCCATGGGCACTCCGACCGCGAGCTACTGGTACCCAAAAAGTCAGTTGGGTACCTACCGAGTACGAAGTACCTACCTACAGTGCATGTCGCCATCCCCATGCAGCTCCCGGGGCTTCCAATGTCCATCACCAACCTAACAAGTCAACCCCCCTTTGTGCTTTTACGCTCTCATGCACATGTGTAGGAAGTCAACTGAATTGATCATTGGGTGCACTACTAGTGGCCAGTGATCAGTAGGACTTCAGCAAGGAGGACACAAGCGACACGCTCACAGTCCACGTAGATAAACTCTAAAGGATCGGACTCCATCGGTCCATCTGGAATAAAAAGCCCTGTCAGTGCACACATTGCATCCCCATAAAAAGAGGCGTGCATCGTGCATCGCTCAGACTCCCAGTTGTGCAAACCACGGCCCAATCCACTCGCTCTATCTGCCAGCCGCCAGTGCAGGGCGAAACAAGAACCATCTCGCCAACTCGCCTGCGATTCTAGCCACTGGCCCTGGAGACCTGGCCGCATCCTGCAGCCGTTACCATTCAGGGTCTGCCAGGTCTGTGCAAGCGCCCGTTCAATCTATAACGGGTCTTGTGGCAATGCCCTTCTGCTTCACCTTCACTCAATCCGATTCATAAAAACCACCACCTCATCGCTACCTCAACTCACCTTCTCTTCCACCCTCCATCCGCCATCCTCATCCTCACCTTCGTCAGTGTCGAAGGCCCGAGCTTGAGCTCTCACCAGCTTCAAGCACCACCCCCCTGTCGCCTCCCACCTCCCTGACACATCTGGGGCCGGCCTCCCCACTTCTTGCAAGCCTCCTTGAGCTCGCATCCTAGCCCAAAGCGCACCCTACTACTAGCCCTCCTCAGTGACAGACAAGCCGAGGGAACGACGCTGTGTCCGCCTGCTCCAGGTTCCAACCCCTGACAAGCCGAGCAATCCTTGTCTGCGCCACCCAGGGCAAGAAAAAAAACCCTAATACCCCCCAACGGCGCAGTTCCACGCCATCCCACCATATCTGTACTCTGTACCTGGAGTTTATCGTCCGCCTATCCACTAGCTGCAGACGCTGAACCCACTCTGCTGCAGTTGCGACATCACTTCCGGTACAACTTTTCAGGAGAACAACTCGCTTGGATACTACGAGACTCTCTCTCAAACATCAGGAGCTGCATCCCTGGGCCGTGCCTGGGACTACCATAACCCGATATATCCCACGCAGCACAGGTTTTTGTGCGGATTCTGAATCTCTCCTGCTGGCCAGGTGAAAAAGTCTACAAAGATCGGCCCAGTCAGTATCTTGGATACCAGCCTCCCCTCCCCGCTTGTGTCAGAGGCCTGTCACTTCACTTCAGTCCACTCGCTTCGTAACCAGCCTTTGAAACCTC